TAGCAACCCGAGGAGGTGTCATGGTGTCTGTTCTGATGGTTGTTCAGTGAGATTATAACCATTAAAATAATTATTTTCCATCCTTTTGGAAAATTGAAGAGACCAAAATGATCGAGTATATTCATTTGTGGTGTGTGTGTGTGTGTGTGTGTGTGGTGTGTGTGTGTGTGTGTGTGTGTGTGTGTGTGTGTGTGTGTGTGTGTGTGTGTGTGTGTGTGTGTGTGGTGTGTGTGTGTGTGTTGTTTCTTCGTGTTCGATCAACTGGTTGTTCTTGTCATGTACATAACATTTCGGGTATTTTGTGTCGCAATTATTCTTATTTCCTGTTATCAACCGATTTTATGTCTTTTTGTCTGTCTACAAAAGCATACGAAAACTACAGACGACCGATGATGAAAAAAAAAAACATTAATAAAATAAAAAATAAAAAAACAAAAATAAAAATATTTCTAAGGCAATTCATCACAGAAAATAATAAATTTAGGTAAACGTGTATTCTTAAAACTATATTATTAAGGCAATGTGCTTTCAAACTAGTGTTGACGCTATCATTAATATCACGAGCTGCTTTATTCTTCAATATAATTATCTTGATCATGAATCTTATTATCATCAGTATGATTAAGATCGTGTATGTGGTGGTCATCACCATTCATAACGCGATTATCATCACCATCAACATAATCTCCTCATCATCACCGTCACTATCAATATAGTCTTCACATCCTTATCATCACCATCACCATAACCTTCACAATCCTCTCCTCCTCCTCTCAACACTACCTTCACATCCTAATCATCACCATCACCAACACCGTCAACCATAATTCACACATCACCGGTGCCTTCAACATAGCCTTTACATCCTCCTCCTCCTCATCACCATCAAGGTCACCTTCACATCCTCTTCATCATCATCATCACCAACACCTTCACATCCTCCTCCCCATCATCACCATCAACATGACCTACACATCCTCCTCTTCCTCATCATCAACATAACCTGATGATGGTGATGATTACACCATAAAAATGACCTTGACATCCCCTCTTCATTCATTTTAACCATCATAATCACCATCGCCATCATCAGCACACCACAATGAAAATAAATATTATTACAAAATTGATAACAGATACAGTGCATCTCGCTTTAGAATCACAGCCTCGACAACTAGGTCACGGAGGGCAAGTGCGGTTAGGTCAAAGGTCAAAGAGATGAGATAAAAGGGTAGATGTGCAGACCGCTGGATGGAATTCGTTAATTAGGGCTCACTTCAGATCAATTAGGCATGGGAATTAATGATTCAGTTCTGTTGATTAATGGTGCTGCTCTGTTACTGGCCATCATCATCGTCATTATCATAATTATCATCATTCACCATCACCACCACATAATAATCATATCCATCATCAATCCTTATCAATCATTCAGCCATCACCACCACCACCATCTATCATCGTCATCGCCATATCATCATCATCTTATCATAATTCACCATCACCACCACCACCTACACATCATCATCATCTTCCATCATCATCATCATCATCCTTATCATCATTCACCATCACCACCACCACCATCATCATCATCGTCATCGCTCATCATATCATCATCCTTATATATTCACCAACCACACCACCATTCATCATATCGTCATCGCCATCATCATCATCATCCTTAATCATCCTCATTCACCATCACCAACCACCCATCATCATCATCGTCATTCATCATCATCATCCTTATCATCATTCACATCACCACCACACCACATCATCATCATCATCAACACCACCATCATCATTATCATTACATCATAACCACCATCATCACCCCATGACAAAAATAGAGAATCAGGGTGATGAAGAGGTAAACGCTAATAATAACAAGAACGATGGAATAAATCAACAACGGGGATAATAATATTCAACACGCCCACACTTGACCTTTCTCATTCTCCTCCACACTCCCACTCCTCCTTCTCCCGCCACCCCCACACACCCACACTTCACTCCTCTCCCCCCCACAACCACACACACACACTTACATCTCCTCTACTTACGCACACACACCCACACTTTCTCCCTTCTCCCGCCGCCCAACCAAACACACATATCTCTTTACCCCCCCACACACTCACACCTCTCTACTCCTCACACACTCACCCACAACTCTCTTCCATCCCCCCCCCCCCCGACACACAACCCACAACCCCTTATCACACCCGCCCACACACACGATCGAAACCTCTCTTCAAACAACCCACAACTTGGTATCCCTCACAATTCCTTTCGAATAGCTCCTCACACAGATGGAAACCTTCACTCCGAAAACCCGCTAAAACCTCTCTCCCTCATAACCCGGAATCTCCCACAACTTCATCTCCCTCACAACGCGGTTTCTCCCGCAACTTCACCTCTCTCATAACCCCGCTTCTCCCACTTTTCACCTCCTACAAACCCGATTCGTTCACAACTTGGTTTCTCCTACAAGTTCACCTCCCTCACAACCGGAATTCTCCGCAACTTCACCTCCCTCACGACCCGGTTTCTCCAACTTCACCTCCCTCACAACCCCCGATATTCCCACAACATCACCTCCCTCACAACCTCGTTTCTCCCACAACTTCACCTCCCTCACAACCCCATTTCTCCACACTTCACCTCCTCACGACCGCCATAATCTCCCACGCTTCACCTCCCTCACGACCGGTTTCTCCACTTACAACCCTGTTTCACCTACAATATCCTCTACAACTCATATCTCCCACACTTCACCTCTACAACCCCATATGCTCCACAACCTCACCTCCTCACAACCCATATCTCCCACAACTTCACCTCCCTCACGACCTCATATCTCCTACAACTTCTCCTTCACAAAACTCGTTTCTCCACAGCTTCACCTCCTCACAACCTCATTTCTCCACGACTCACCTCCCTCAACAATTTCTCCACTCCCACGACTTCACCTCCCTCACGACCCGGTTTCTCCAACTTACAACCCTGTTTCACCTACAATATCACCTCCCTCACAACCTCATATCTCCCACGACTTTCAACCTCCATACAACCTCATTTCTCCCACAACTTCACCTCCCTCACAACCTCATTTCTCCCACAACCTCACCTCCCTCACAACCTCATTCTCACAACTTCACTCCCTCACAACGTTTCTCCTAACACTTCCCTCCCACAACCTCACTTCTCCAATTTTCACCTCTACAATCCCGTTTCTCCTACAACACCTCCCTCACCAACCTCTCATTTCTCCACGACTTCACCTCCCTCAGACCCGGTTCTCCAACTTACAACCCTGTTCCCTACAATATCACCTCTCACAACCTCCCACCTCAACCCCTCACAACTCATTTTTTCCCACAACTTCCCTCACGACCCGGTTTCTCCAACTTCACCTCCCTCACAACCCGTCCTCCCAAACATCACTCCTCCCATTCTCACAACATCACCTCCCCCAACCCGCCTCCACAACATACACCTCCTCACGACCCCATATCTCCCACAACATCACCTCCCTCACACTGTTTCACCACGCTTCCCTCACGACCCACATCTCCCACGACTTCACCTCCCTCACACCTCATTTTCTCCCACGACTTCTCCTTTACAAACCCGGCTCTGCAACTTCACCCTCCGTCACACCTCATTTCACCCACGACTTCACCTCCCTCCACAACCTCGTCTCTCCACAATTCACCTCCATCATACTCATTTCTCCTACAATCACCTAACCTCACAACCTCATTTCTCCCACAACTTCACCTCCCTCACAACCCCGCTTCTCCCACAACTTCACCTCCCTCACAACCCTATATCTCCACAACTTACCTCCCTTCATTTCTCCCACGACTTCACCTCCCTCACAACCTCATTTCTCCCACAACATCACCTCCCTCACAACCTCATTTCTCCCACGACTTCCCTCACGACCTGCAGCCCGGACCCCCCGCGTCCGGATTTCGTTGAAGCCGAATGCCGAAACAGAAGCCAAAGCCAAGTTTCTCAGAAGGGCTTCTTCAAGTCGTCCTTCACTTGAGACTCTTTTCTTCTGCTCAACTTCATCTTTGTTCTCGCCATCTTTAATCTTTTTTCTTTTTAATTCGTTTTTTTTTTATTCCTTAGTCGTTTTTTGTTTTGTTTTCTACGCGTTATTTCTTATTAGAATTAGAAAAAAAAAAATCTTTCCTCTTCTCTCTTTCTCTCTCTCTCTTTCAAGGTGTTTGGGTGTGTTAGTGTATGTGGATAGTTAGTGTGTTTGTTTGTGTGTGTGTGTGAGTTTGGGCGTGTGTGTGTGTGTGTTTGAGCGTGTGTGTATCTGTGAATACACGCGTATGTGTGCGTTAACTTGGGTGTTTAGTTTGTCTGTCTCTCCAATGTATATGTATGCCTACGTGTAGGTAAGTCTGTCTGTTTTCATGTACGGCTGCATGAATGTATGTTTTGTTTTGTGCATTGTATGTATGTATGTATGTATGCATGCAAGAATGTATATATGAATGTATATATACATATATAAGTATCTCCTCCCCCATCCTCTCTCCATATCTGTGCATCTATTTGCTCTCCGTTTCTTCGTCTTCTCCGCTCCCTTATGAGATTCGCATCATATAAACTGGTCTATAAAAATTTATAATATGAAGACTAGGAGAGTCTCCGCCTCATAAACACTCGCCCAGCCTAAAAAAATCCTTTGTGCGACCGCCAATAAGAACGGTCTGCGAGAACTGTCATTCCGTGTCCATAATTTACATATACGAAACAGCTGTTGGAAATTACATTCTTACGACTGTGACTTCTATTCAGATGAAAAACTTTTGTGACTACTGTTCGGTTTAACGAGGGCTTAAGTCACGACCAGATGCCTTGGAAACTGCAGCTGTATTCGAATGAAAAAAGATGTATGTATATACGACACAGACAACACACACACACCACACCACACACGCAAACACACACCCACACGCACGCACACA